ACAACTAAAAGGAGATATAAACATTCACACTTTTGATGATTTTAACACTCCTCTCTCAAGAAATCATAAAATAATTATATAGAAAAGCATAACTACACAAAAATCTTGAACACTGTCAAATACCTTGACTTGTTATTAATAAACACTGCACCCAACAATAGAGCATACATTGTTTTCAAGTGTGCATGAAACAGTCCCTAAGACCATATGCTAAAACAAGTCTTGATAAGTTTAAAAGATCTTATATAGGGGTGCCTAGGTGATTCAGGTGGTTAAGCGTCCAACTCTTGATTTTGGTTCAGGTCATGATCTCAAGGTCATGAGACTGAGCGCCATGTCATGCTCTGCAGTGGGCATGGAGCCTGCTTAAGATTCTCTCTCTTCCTCTGCCACTCCGCTGTCTCTCACCCTGCTCACAGCATACTCTCTCACAAAATAAATAAAAACTAACTAAATAAAAGAACTTATATAAACTTATGTTCTCTGACAACAATGAAATGTGATTAAAATGAGTAATAACTATAACAATAATACTAATACTAAAAGCTGCTTGGAAAAAAACTCCAAAATTAAGTTTTATACTTCTATATAAGCCATAAATTAAAGAAGAAATCACAAGAGATATGAGAAAACACCTTTAACTTAATGATAATGAAAACTCAACATAAGAAAATTTGTGGGACACAACTCAAGCAGTTTAGAGAAAGAATTTATAGCTTTATAAACTGACATTAAACAAGAAGGAAAGTTTAAAATCAATGATCTAAGATTCTATTTTAAGAAGTCTGAAAAAGAGCAAAGCAATGAATGAGAGCAGTATATATAAATCAAAAGTGAGTAAATGGAGATGAGAGTTGTTCTAGTGTCCCTACGTTATCCAGAAAGTGGTAAAAGTACTAATTTTCTATATTAGTAAAAATTAAAATTATAATCTCTAGTGTAATCACTAAGAGAACAGAAAAAGTATATAAATACTAAACTAACAGTAGGCAGAATACTGAATAATAAACAATACGCAGTTAAATAAAAAGGTAAGAAAGGAGGAAGAGAAAAAACCAAAACCAAATAGGTAGGAATCTAATATAGAAACCAATTTGAAACACTGCAGATTTAAACACAATTATATGAAAATTATGTTTAATGTAAATTGAATAAATGTACTAATTTAAAAACAATTTTTCACACTGGGGAAAAAAAAAAAGCCCAAGTATATGTTGTTTATTAAAAAAAAAAAAAAAAAAAAGGCCCGGGGTGCCTGGGTGGCTCAGTGGGTTAAGCCTCTGCCTTCAGCTCAGGTCATGATCTCAGGGTCCTGCAATCGAGCCCCGCATAGGGCTCTCTGTTCAGCAGGGAGCCTGCTTCCCCCCTCTGCTTCTCTGCCTATTTGTGATCTCTCTGTCAAACAAATAAATACAAATCTTAAAAAAAATTTTTAAAAAAGGCACAAAAAACATCTAAAATACAAGGATAAGTAAGAAAGGTTAAAGGCAAAAAAATATGAGCCACAGAAACCACAAACAAATGGAAGATGATCTTATATTGATAAAAGACCCCCCCAAAAAAATAGTAGACTTAAAGGTAAAAAGGATACTTCATATGTTCAACTGACCAGAAAGATATAACACCTGTAAAGTGCACTATGTAACAGTCTTGAAATACAAAAACACAGTATTATAGAACTATAAGGAAAGTCACATCCCCAGTCATACTGGGTGTTCTTAACATGCCTCATTCCATAAATGAAGAAATGGACAAAACAGCCAGTACTGACATATAAATACAAATATCATGATTAACCATGTTGGCCTGATATACATAGAAATTTATATCCAACAACTTCAAAATATATATAAATATAAATAGTGTTTATAAAATCTCATCAGTGCTAGACTATGAAATAAATGAAAGTGGAAGTATTTCAGAAGTTTAAGATTATACAAAGTATATTGTTTCTGCATAGTGAAATTCAGTTAGATTTTTTTCCATTGCTTTTTTTTTTTTTGAAATAACATATATAATGTATTGTTTGTTTGAAGGGTACACATCTGTGATTCATCAGTCTTACACAATACCCAGAGCTTACTACAATACATACCCACCCCTATGTCCATTGCCCAGCCACCCCATCCCCCACCCCCTTCCCCTATGATCCCCTGCCTTGTTTCTTAAAGAAAAAGAAAACTACAAAACTGTATGTTTTTTGGATATTAAGAAACTTCCCTTTAAGAGAAGATATTTGCAAATGACATATCTGATAAGGGGTTAGTATCCAAAATATATAATTTATAAAACTCAACACCCAAAAGCAAATCATCCAATTAAAAAATGGGCAGAAGGCATGAACAGACATTTTTCCAAAGAAGACATACTGATGGCCAAAGCAGACATGAAAAGATGCTCAACATCGCTTACCATCAGGGAAATACAAATCAAAACCACAATGAGATATCACCTCACAGCAGTCTGAATGGCTAAAATCAACAAAAACAAAAGACAATAGGTGTTGTTGAGGATGTGGAAAAAGGGGAACCCTTTTTCACCGTTGGTGGGCATTTAAACTGGTGCAGCTAGTCTGGGAAACAGTATGGAGGTTCCTCAAAATGCTAAAAATAGAACTACCCTAGGATCCAGCAATTGCACCTACTAGGTACTTACCCAAAGAATACAAAAATACTCATTTGAAGAAATACATGCACTCCTGTATTGACTTATTTATAGCAGCATTATCTACAATAGCCAAATTATGGAAACAGCCCAAGTGTCTTAAACTGATGAATGGATAAAGAAGATTGGCATATTTTTCCTTCTATATCTGTATCTATGTATATATCTCTAAATACATAGATTATATACATACAAAGGAATATTATTCATCCAACAAATGAATGAAGTCTTGTTATTTCTAATGACATGGATAGAGCTATATATATATATTTAATAATGGTTAGTGAAATAAGTCAGAGAAAGATGAATACTGTATGATTTCACTCATATATGAATTTAAGAAACAAAACAAGCAAAGGGAAAAAAGAGAGAGAGGTAAACCAAGAAACAGACTCTTTTTTTTTTTTTTTTAAAGATTTTATTTATTTATTTGACAGAGAGAAATCACAAGTAGGCAGAGAAGCAGGCAGAGAGAGAGGAGGAAGCAGGCTCCCTGCTGAGCTGAAAGCCCGATGCGGGGCTCGAACCCAGGACCTGGGATCATGACCTGAGCTGAAGGCAGCGGCTTAACACTGAGCCACCCAGGTGCCCAAGAAACAGACTCTTAAACTACAGGGAACAAACGGATGGTTATCAGACAGAAGGTGGGTGGGGATATGGGTGAAATACAAGATAGAGGCTAAGGAGCACACTTGCTGTGATTAGCAAAGGTTGTTGTATGGAAGTGCTGAATCACTATACTGTATACCTGAAACTAACATTGCACTGTATGCTAACTAACTGGAATTTTAAAAAAAAAACTTTAAAAAAAAAAAAAGAAAGAAAGAAACTTCCCTTCAAAACTATCCATGTATCAAGCAGATGTCATAATGGAAATTATAAGACACTCTGAGTTATGAAAACATGAAATATCAGAATTGGGAGAATAAAGTTAAATATGTGCTTAGAAAGAATTTTATGGCTTTAAATGTATGTATTAAAATGTATATATTAGAAAAAACAAAACTAAAAAATCAATGCTCTAAGCACCAAGAGATTATAAAAAGTGTGGTAAATTAAATCCAAAAAATATAGCATATAAAAAGAAATAAAAAGAGCAGAAATTAATGAAAACATGCAAGAGAGGTGATCATCTAATCATCTTCAATATATTTGTGTCTTCTAGATTTCAAGTAATTAGCAATTATACTCACAACCCCCAGTCCCCATTGTGATTGCATAAATAAATACACAATTTGTGCATCTTACACTTTAATCACCACTTTTCTGCAGTTAAAAGGAAATCATCTGCTTAACTACAACCAAGAGGCTTGGCTTTTAATGGGTGGGGTGAGGACACAATATAAGACTTTGGGTGAACTTGTGAAGTGGGGAATTAATATGCAACTCCATATCATGGTGAGAAACTAGAAGGTCTGACACCCTCAAATAAAGAGAGCAAAAGGAGTTGACTGTCTCTATTTGAGTTTGAGTTAAAAACAATCTCCCAAATATTTCACCACTAGCCTGCTCCACAGCCCCCATGAGTTTGGTTTTATTACCAGAATCATCAAAAAATCTCCCATAACAAAATTAATATAAAGTCATTCTGACCAGTATTTATTTTCTGGTGACTAGCAAATCCCAACAAGAAGTGAAGAAATGAACTCTCCATCCAATCCACACAAAAATCCCATAGAAAAGTCTGCAAAAATTTATAAACCAAGATTATAAAACATGAAGGAATAATCCACCCTGACTCAGAGTGACTAGAATTAGAATTGCAAGAGGCTTACGTATCAGAATTGTCAGGTGTGTGTGTTTTTGTACACATAATTTTTAACTTATATTTTAGATATTTATACATTTACATTTATATAAATTTAATGTATACATAATTTGAATATTAATAAAGTATACTTAAAATATGTATTATTTGATTTACTCAAAGTATAAAAGATCAAAAGGGCAAATTTGAAAAAAATACAAAGAGACGTTCTAGAAATTAAAACACACATTTTAACACATTTAACAAATGAGTCAAGCGAAATATTAGATACAACTAAAGAGCAATTAAGTGAACTGAAAAACAACCTTGAAGATTACTGCTCAGAATCTAGGCATTCTCAGATTTATTGCTTTTGTTATAGATTTATCATTTTCAGAAATCAATGTCTAATAAAAACAGAATTTTATTAGCCACTCTATTTTTTACTCAATCACAACTTTTAAATAGGTATCTTTATATATTACACTAAAGATTAAAGTATAAGTGGTATGTATATAAAATAAGCAACCATGGATCCTTGGCCCTTGGTGACATGTAATTCAATGGTTCAATATTTAATGTGAGTTACCTTAACAAAATCTCTATCAGTCTTCTCCTTCCATTCTTCACCAAATACAGTAGAAAAGGATCCTAAAGCTAAAAGAATAAACAGTATATTCAGTACAATGGAATTATTCTTTCACTTAATTCCTTAAGATAGATGTGGAAAAAACAATAAAAATACATCTAAGTATCTTCTTTGCTAAAAACTATTTCATGGTAAATGATACAAAGTCATGATAATCTCTTGTGAAATATAATTTTTTAAATTACAGAATTAAAAAAAACTTGTTTTTCTACAAACTAAAAATACACACTCATTTTTATAATATTTATACAAACAATAGAGAAAAGAAATGAAGAATACTATAACAGTTACTCTGCATTAGGCTTCATTTCTAGAGGAGAAAAATATCAAAAAGTCAAACTAATGCTATTGCTATCAGGTTGCCAGATTTTAAAAATTTTTAATCTTTATATTAATTTCAAAAATAATTGTGTAATTCATATTTCAAATAAAAAAGGGCAAGGCATTCTTAGGAAATAATTTCCACAAACGAAATCTCCCTTAAGAAACACACTCAGGCCTATAGCTTCTTTGCATGTGATAGAGTCGTTCGGAAGAAAAATCAAATCATTCAATTCAAATTCTTAGTAACACTGTACCCTTAAGTCCCCCAAAACAAAGGTTAAGGCATAAGTACATGTTACATAATTTTTTTCCTCCTTTATATTGCCAGATCACATCGTCAGTTTATGGAACCAGACAGTTAAGCAGTATGATACAGATGTCTTCAACTGTGACACAATAAGCATCTGCCTTTAAAAATTAGGGAAGTGCTTTCATCAACTATGGTATTAATTCTGTAATGAAAGCTAGTTCTTTTGGAATACAGAAAGAAAACTATATAGTGGCAATTGTTAATAGAAAAACTAGTTTTGTGAACAAAATTCTTTAAAAAGCAAAAACACACCTTAATGGATATGTTGTAACCACCAAAGCAAATGGATATATCTTCTGTTTTAAAAAGATTCACTGAATCTTTACAATCTTAGTATGTCTTTAAGTACAGACCTAATATTTCCTTAACATTGAGTAAAAAAAAAGTTTATGAAGTATTTAGAACAAGAATTTTCATTGAAAAAATATTAAAAAGGATGAGGAGTAAATTTTAACATAAATTAAGTTTATCAATGATATTAATATTAAAAACAGGGTCATGAGGAAATGATAAAAGAACAGATGTGAAAGTTTTTAATAAATAATTTCATAAAATAGCAAACTTACATATAAGTAGCAACTTAATTAGAAAAATGAAACCCACATATCACTAAAGAAGACCACTAAAGAAATAAAGTTTTGTTATAAAGAAAAACTTCACTGGGAAAAGAATATTAAATGGAAATATAAGATGGAAAAATTAAATTTTTTTGTCAAATAGAACTTTTACTATACTTCTTCAAATACACACAAAAAAATAGACACACTTTATAAAGGATATGTCATCTACATTTATCTCATTAAAATTCCACGTCCTAAAAAATAAATCAGGGGCACCTGGGTGGCTCAGTGGGTTAAAGCCTCTGCCTTCGGCTCGGGTCATGATCTCAGGGTCCTGGGATGGAGCCCCTCATCGGGCTCTCTGCTCAGCAGGGAGCCTGCTTCCCCCTCTCTCTCTGCCTATCTCTCTGCCTACTTGTGATCTCTCTCTCTCTGTCAAATACATAAATATTTAAAAATAAATAAATAATAAATAAATCAAAACCTCTCAAAAGCCTAACCAAATCAAATATATTGATAATCCTCAAAGGATTTACTTTCCTAATGTAAATCACTGCTTTAGGTACAGGGTCTTCATAAAGTCCCTATGTAGTCTGGAACTCTAAACTTCTGACTGTTGAAATGATAGTAATATTCCTTAAATATCATTTGCTAGATTACTAGTTTTAGACTGCTACACTCATTAATGATTTAGGCTTTTAGATAATTGAAAGTGACGAAAAATGCACGAAGATTAAACTAGGTCTGAAGAATGTCATGCCTCAGTATACCAAAACTGGTAAGGTAACTTATCATATTCACACACACACACACACACACACACACACACACACACACTCTTAATCCTTATCCAATGATTAAATGGTCAAGACTTAAATTATTCTGGTTTGAGAATATTTAATTTTTCTAAAAACTTCATTTTAAGGTTTCTAAATGTGAACATTTTTAACTTTTTTCTCTACTAAATTCTGGAAGATGTCCTTAAAAGATCAAAACAAGGGGCGCCTGGGTGGCTCAGTGGGTTACAGCCTCTGCCTTCGGCTCAGGTCATGGTCCCTGGGTCCTGGGATTGAGCCCCCCATCTGGCTCTCTGCTCAGCAGGGAGCCTGCTTCCCCCTCTCTCTCCACCTGCCTCTCTGCCTATTTGTGAGCTCTGTCAGATAAATAAATAAAATCTTAAAAAAAAAAAAAAAGATCAAAACAAAGTATTAGGAACCACAGAACATGAAAGTAAGACCGAAATCCACCAAATTTAGATCTCCAAAGTTACAATACAAACTGAGAAGTACTTTGTTCCTCCCTCATGTAACCAATGAGACTTTCAGGCAGGGTAAGAAACTAGTTTTCACTTTTGTTTAAACATTTCAGAATTGTCTTCATACAACCTAAGTACCTGTCAAATTCTAAGGAATCCTACTTGGACAATCCCAAATAAAAATATGTTTTAAGAGTCTACTACCTGACCCAAATCAAACTGCAAAAAAATGAACTAATTTGCAAACATGTTGCTACTGAAAGATAAAACAATAACTGTCATGAATCTATAAAATACTAAAGAAATTCTCTCTCAAACTATCTCTACTGTGCTATACAAATAGTTTCTACATGATAAAATAATTTCAATATGTCAATACCTTATCCTTTTTTTTTTCCTCCATATATCTGAATTGTTGAGAAGACTTTATGGGCAGTTTGTTCTTGAACTACTCAGTCTTTTTCCCAGGGGATAAATTAAATCCCTCTCTCCTTGTGACTGTGTGCACCCAGAACTTCCTTTTGATTCATGCTATCTACCCTATTTGGAATTATCCCCATAATTTAACCTTTAATAGTATATACTTCAGGGAAAAAAAGAAGTTACAATAGCATTGGAATAGAAGGAGGGTTGCTTAGCAAGAAAAAATTGTATATCAATAACATTCAGCCAACATATTTTAAAATGAAAACCCATGAGCAGAAAAAAATTTCAAAACATATTTTCTAAATCCCTTTTAACTACAATTAGAGAAATAAAAAATTTAATCTTTTTTTCTTTTTGAACAATTTAGTCTTAAGGGTAATCTAGATGTAACAAGACACAATGTCATAGGAAATAAAGAATCTGACTTATAAAAATCTACAACTAGCAAATCCTATAAGTAAAAAGGATATGAAATATCTGATAACTTTTACTTTATTTAGGCAGAAAATTTTTAAATACACCAACAAACTGTTTAATTAAAAATTACAATGACACATTAGGAAAAAACCAATTTCTTCCAGGTCCTAGTTTTTTATATCAAGATTTTGTATCAAACAATCTTCTAACATCAAGAAACCCTTATCACTACTCTAAGAAAAATCCAAGATTTTTATTTATTTTTATTTTTATTTTTTTTAAGATTTTATTTATTTATTTGACAGACACAGATCACAAGCAGGCAGAGAGGCAGGCAGAGAGAGAGGGAGAAGCAGGCTTCCCGCCGAGCAGAGAACCCGATGCGGGGCTCGATCCCAGGACCCTGGGACCATGACCCGAGCCGAAGGTAGAGGCTTTAACCCACTGAGCCACCCAGGCGCCCCCAAGATTTTTATTTTAAAAGTTCTAGTGAGATCTTTACTATTTGAATATTTACGGCTAAAACCCCCCTTCATTATCTTAAATAACACATTTAATACAATAAAAGCAAATAAAGAATGCTATTATACCAATAAAAATTATTTTTCTCCTTAAAAGCCTTTTTTAAAAATCCCTAACACCTTTATAGAATGATCATACGATATGATAGGTTCAGCTTAAAACTTACTGTCATCAAACACCCCGGCATTAGCAAGTAATAAAGTGATGATTTTAGGGTCTTTTTCAAGTTGCATGACGTGCTTGCTTTCATTTGATAGAAGAGTGCATACATTAATAGCAAAGTCCACTTCATTTGGGAGTCCAGATAACAGTGAAAGCACCAATTTATTATAATCATTTGGCGAATTGAAGTCCATAGATAGCCCATAACTTTGACGCAGATAATCTAAGATAAAAATAAAACATCTTAAGAATATCAAGGATTAAAAACCATTATCATTAATATCATACAAATGCAAGACAGAAGCTTGTTTTCCTTTATAAAATTTAAATTAAGTAGAAGTTTAAAAGAGTTCAACTTTCCAAACTTAAGTTAAAATTACAGTCTTCAGAAAGTATTAAAATACAAAAAAAAGTACTATTATACCCTCTTGGATATCATTACCAAATTATTAATATATCATTAGTTAAATTTACATACTCTACACTTTTTACTCTCCTACTTCAAGGGACCGTATCAGGTTTTTATATATTATAAGCCAGGGATACTAGTTCCTTTGAAATTTTTAACAATATCATGATTTTAGAGATTTTGGCTACCTTCTTTATCAAACTATAGGAGAATTATCGTTTTTGGGGTCAGATTTATGGCAATATAATTAACAGTAAAATTCATGCTTTTTTGTTCTATGAGTATTGACAAATTTTTTTAAAAAACACAACCACAATGAAGATAAAGAATATTTCCATCACCGCAAAAAGTTTATTTAACCTTTTCTGCAGTTAAACCCCTGTTCTACCCACAAACACTGATCTACTTTGTTTCTATAACTTTATTTCAAAATAACAAATAAATGGAATCATACAGTATGTAGTGTTTGTTTTTTTTTTTAAGATTTTATTTATTTGACAGAGATCACAAGCAGGCAGAAAGGCAGGCAGAGAGAGGGGGAAGCAGGCTCCCTGCTGAGCAGAGAGCCCAATGTGGGGCTCGATCCTGACTCTGAGACCATGACCTGAGCTGAAGGCAGAGGCTTAACCCACTGAGCCACCCAGGCACCCCCAGTATGTAGTCTTTTATATCTGATTTCTTTCAATCCATGTTGATGCATCAGTAGTTTGTTTCTTTTTAATGCTACAGAAAGGGTAGAACACAATTTGTTCATCCATTCCCTAGATGAGGGACATCTGGATGGTTTTTTGATTTTGTTATTAATTGGTTTATATAGTTGGCTGCTCCCATGTTAGGGGCATAGATATTTAAAATTGTTAGATCTTCTTGTTGGACAGTTCCTTTGAGTATGATATAGTGTCCTTCCTCATCTCTTATTATAGTCTTTGGCTTAAAATCTAATTGATCTGATATAAGGATTGCCACTCCTGCTTTCTTCTGATGTCCATTAGCATGGTAAATTCTTTTCCACCCCCTCACTTTAAATCTGGAGGTGTCTTCGGGTTTAAGATGAGTTTCTTGTAGGCAACATATAGATGGGTTTTGTTTTTTTATCCATTCTGATACCCTGTGTCTTTTGATTGGGGCATTTAGCCCATTAACATTCAGGGTAACTATTGAGAGATATGAATTTAGTGCCATTGTATTGCCTGTAAGGTGACTGGTATTGTATATTGTCTCTGTTCCTTTCTGATCTACTACTTTTAGGGTCTCTCTTTGCTTAGAGGACCCCTTTCAATATTTCCTGTAGAGCTGGTTTGGTATTTGCAAATTCTTTCAGTTTTTGTTTGTCCTGGAAGCTTTTAATCTCTCCTTCTATTTTCAATGATAGCCTAGCTGGATATAGTATTCTTGGCTGCATGTTTTTCTCGTTTAGTACTCTGAATATATCATGCCAGCTCTTTCTGGCCTGCCAGGTCTCTGTGGATAAGTCTGCTGCCAATCTAATATTTTTACCATTGTATGTTACAGACTTCTTTTCCCGGGCTGCTTTCAGGATCTTCTCTTTGTCACTAAGACTTGTAAATTTTACTATTAGGTGACGGGGTGTGGACCTATTCTTATTGATTTTGAGGGGGGTTCTCTGAATCTCCTGGATTTTGATGCTTGTTCCCTTTGCCATATTGGGGAAATTCTCTCCAATAATTCTCTCCAATATACCTTCTGCTCCCCTCTCTGTTTCCTCTTCTTCTGGAATCCCAATTATTCTAATGTTGTTTCGTCTTATGGTGTCACTTATCTCTCGAATTCTCCCCTCGTGGTCCAGTTGGATGGTTTTTGGTTTTGGGGACTTAGGAACACTGCTGCTATAAACATTCATATACAGAACTTCGTGCAGAAATATTTTCCCTTTCCCTTGGATTTCTGGACCATATATAAGTATATATTTAACTGGGTAAGAAACCGTGAAGCTGTTTTCCAAAGTGGCTTACAGCATCTTGCGTTTCCACTGACAATATACAGGGTTCCTGTTACTTTGCATCCCTGCCAGCATTTTAACAGCCAGTTTTAAATATTCTGAATCTGACATTTAATAAATATTTTCTCCCAAACAATGGCTTATCTTTTTTTCTTAAAAGTGTCTTTGAAGAGCACAAGTTTTAAATTTTGATAGAAGTCTGATTTATAAATTTTTACTTTATAGTTCATGCTTTCGTGTCCTAAGAAATCTTTGCCTAAGCCAAGTTAACTAAGATTTTCTGTAAGACAATTAATTTAAAACATCTTCAAAACTTTAGGGGCGCCTGGGTGGCTCAGTTGTAAAACGGCTGCCTTCGGCTCAGGTCATGATCCCAGGGTCCTGGGATCGACCCCCACATCAGGCTCCCTGCTAGGTAGGAAACCTGCTTCTCCCTCTCCCACTCCCCCTGCTTGTGTTCTCTCTCTCACTGTGTCTAGCTCTGTCAAATAAATAGATAAAATCTTTAAAAACAAAACAAAACAAAAATCTTCAAAACTTTGAATGTAAGGAAGATGGGCTTACAGAATACTAACATGTTACAGTATCATAATATTTAAGAAATACATCATATTTCTAGAAATATTGACTCTTATTTTGGGTAGTGTAGACCTTGGTAGCTATGCCCTCAGACATATACCCCAAGTACATTTTTCACATAAAGATATAACTAGTCTAATGCAAAGAGGCAAGAAAACAAGAGATAGAAAACCTCTAGATGAGACATTTCAGAAATACATGAATTTTTAAAGAATTTTTTTTAAACCTTGCTAAATGGATTACAAGTAGAAATCTATTATCACAACATGCCACAAAATCAAATTATATAGGGAAGAAATTTCTTTATTTCCCACTTTAGACAACTGAGACGACACCTCTTTAATTCTCAAATAGTCTAGGAATTTCTCCCTAATATAATGATAAATAAGCTCCACAACAGAGTAATAAACTATTATGACAAGAGACTCTTTACAATATTTAAAACTGAATATCTGTTCATTTTCTATAATCTTGATAATAAAATTTCTAATAACAACATAAACAAAATCTGGAGAAAAGGTAACAAAACTTCTGTGAATATAAGAACAGATTTTGATATTTCTATACTGTACACTGGAACTAAATAGTTTAGAGCTTCCATGAAACTTTCAGACAAATCTCTTTCAGAGAAAAAACTTTGAACCCACATTCAACATCTGTCACATTCTTATTTATGTGAGTTCAATATGACCTCAAAATTGCTGTTGTTTGCTACTGAAGAATGAAAGATACCATCAGATACTCAATTCAGTGCACCCTTTCCTGAGTGACTTTGCCAAAGACATCTCCAATTAAAATAAAATAAATAAATATGATAATTACCAAAAAGTCCTTTATATCAGGCTTGGTAAATATTTCTAACATAATGTAGGAGAAATTATTTATAAGACTTTAAGAACTTCCCTTTCATTCCCTTCCCCAAGGAAATGTGCTTGAACAGCTACAATTTCATAACTGGTATGGGATTAGGAATTTATTTTCAACATTCTTGACTCAAAGTTTATACCAGTTTGCTGACAAACTTAATCTAAGGCAATCACTCTGAAAGGGAGAATTATTCCTGGAGTGCTGTTCACACTATAGAAATCATACAATACACTCTTTCTATTATTGGCAGTGATTATCATAGTCTGAATGTCTGTTAGACTATGGGGGATTTTTTTTTTTTTTTAAGAATATGGGGGATTTAAAGGAAAATCTTTACCTAAATAAAACTGATAAAATTAAAAACAAAACAAAACAAAACACAACGTCCTGTATAAAACTTTTCCAAATTTAAGCACCAAAACTGAAAATGGACAGAGTGCTTGACCTCCTTTTATCAAAAAGATTAGACTGGATTAATGATCACTAATATCCTTGCTAGCTCTGAAATTCCACAATTTCAGTGAGTTGTCATTTGTCAACTTTGTCTTTCATAATTTTTCTACTAAAGATATTGTATATAAATTTTTAATATATTTTAACTTAAAAATTAATTTTTTATTTTAATTTTAAAATGTAAGATGAACAAAAAATTACTTAATAATCTCCCTATAATTCTGCAGAACTGACTGTATCCAAATGAATACCAACAACAACAAAATAGGGAAAGAAGGAAAGCAAAGAAAGGATTAGGTATCTGTGGTAAGGAAAAGTATGAAAACTATACAAATAAATGACAAAACTGTCATATATTGATGCTAGTGTTTAATAACCCTAAAACTCCAGGCAAAATCTACTCAATATTTTTTTTGCCACTTAAAGCCGGAGTAAGTTTCTTTAAGGAAAAATCTGGTCCCATATTCTATCAATGTACAATATTACATCAACTAAAACTGCACTCCATGCCAAATGTCCTAGAGCTACTGTCAATTGAAAATGATTATTTCAAAATATTATTTTAAAATAATTTTTCTTAATATCTCTAGATAAATATACTGATCAAAATACATTTGTCCTAACCTACAAAGAGAGCAATAAGACTGTATGACCGAAGATGTAGTCACAAATCTTCTATAGGTTCTAATTAAAATTTCCTGAAGGCTCCTAATCTACCACTATGTAAGTCTAATTTGGTGTTTATTTAAAATACACAGACACACACACATTGACAGGTATGAAGCTTACTCTATTTACCTTAGTGACAACTGAAAAGCATCTTAATAAAGGATTTGTTTTGTATATTGATAATCACATTAATTTTCAAACACTGTCATAATGTTGTTATGCCTCTTCCTTAAAAAAGCACCTTCAAATTCATAAATGCTGCTCTAAAAAACTACCTCTTTTCAGTGTGAATTAGATATATTATAGTCTGATGTTCCCCAGCAATTCCTTCTTTCTTTCCTTTCATTAGCCCCCAATTCTGATTTTGTTAAACATGCTACATGTTGTGTAACTGCTCAGATTCTCCTTTTAAAAAAAAGGCACATATATGACAGTATATCAGAAAGGAGTTATTCTAACACCAAGTTAAGCAATTCTGTCATACCCTTAACTTGCAATAATCACTCTATCAATGACTTTCATTAGGCTTCTGAAATACTAGGATTATCTCACATCTTTTTCTCTTGAGGTAATCAGTTTAATTAGGGGAGGAAAGAAAAGAAAAAAATATCCGGAAAAAATTTCATTCTAAACAAGATCAAAAGTAGAAATGGGTCAGCTTAGGGAGTTGTAATAGCAGACACCAAACTGTATTAAGCTAAAAAAATGAACAGTTCTGTTATTACTGTAATATACATAAAACACAGTTATATAAAGTTGAAAATGGTCTTAAAGATCATTAGTATAATGTCTCATTCAATGCAGGAATACCCTGTATAACATCCTTGAATTCAGTAATGGTCATTAGCCCTTTCTAGAAACAGAGAGTGTATCACCTAATAAGTCACCCCATTTTATTTTATTAGCTTAAACTATTAGCAAGATTTTTACATGGTGACTTAGAATGTTCTCCTTTAATCTTGGTTCTTGAGGTAATTAACTACACATTAAAAACAAAGTGAGGTTTGGTTTGTACTCATTGCCACCAACTTCCACCCCATTATACAAAAGCATCAGATGATGAAGACTCTTCTAGTAATGATCAGATTCTAGGAGATTCTGTTTCTTTAGTTATTACAGACTGGGAAAGAAATATGGAGTCAAATACAACATGAAAGAAACTTTGAAAATAGATAATGGATAATAAAATTAGTGATACTGACACAATGAGAAAGCTTAAATCTAGTGACAGATTATCTATAAGAGACTGGGACTACCACCAATAAAGAATAATAAATATCTAAAAAATTGTAAATTTTATCAAGAAAATACCCTTAAAAAAGACGTTATCTCTTCTTTTTTAGGCCAAATGTTGGTGACTGAAGAAAAGAGATGCTTGTCTCTTCAGAGTTCCCTTCCTAGTCAACACAGTCCCAACACTCAAAGCTACTAAACAGAGGAACCCCTATTGACTCTGCCTCAATAACCTTTTTATTAAACTCTCAACCTAATCATTTTCAATTTGAGTCCTGCTCTTTTTAGCTGCAGATTCCTCTGTAACTATTATAAGAATGACTTAAATGAAAAAGAAAAATCTTATCTGTGGTACCTTAGGAAAAAATACTCAAATAGAAACATTTCTGTGGAATTCTGATGTTGGAAGTTCCAGTAATTGTAGAAAATCCAGTAGATGCTAAGTAGTCTTGACCTCCCTAACCCTATACAACCTCCCTCTTCTCATTTTAGTGACTATTCAAATTAAACTGACCATTAGTTAAAAAAATAAGGAAAAAACTTCACTTGAAAGTACAGATATTTGTAACTCTGAAAATTCCTACGACTAAAAATCTTATAAAGTCTATTCAGAAAGGGCACTGATACCAATTAGGTGTTGATCTTTGAAAGTTGCATGTACAAAGTAAAGGATTAATTCACTGGATGATGTCTATTTTCCTAATTCAAAGCTGGACAATCTCCAATGATACTTACCTGACACACTGTGTTGCTGGTAATTGTAGGAAGATGGAATTGCACCAATAGGAAGCTGTGGCTTTGGATTGCCTGGTGGTACCTCATCATCATCCTCCCCAAAATGATGAACTTTCTCGTACTTTTCTAGGTAACTGAAACAGAAAAACAACACAGCTGAGTTTTACAAACAGATTTACATCTTATTTTTTTAACATTTACCACATGTATCTGTTTTCCTTCCCCAGAACCCCTAAATTTAAAAAAGAGTTAAGATACCACAAGCCTCATATTAGGGAAACAGCACTTCAACAGTGGTACTGCAGACAAACTCAATGCAATGCTTCTAAGTGTTCTTATATTTTCAGAAAGACCACACCATTACCCAAATATCAAAGACAAACACATGTACATGAATGGGAGAACATTTGATTTATTGATTAAAAAAATTATACGAAGTCATTTAAAAGCCAAGTGAAAATGAGAAGATTCTCTAACCCTAGGTCCATCCTCAACCCCCAGTCTCACTCATCAGGTTCACATGCATACTGGAATACTATATTTTCTGTGCCTAATTTTATTTAATGATATATTTTATAGATCTAAGTATGTAAGTACGTTAGTACTGCTTGTTTTTCTTAACAGCTGCACAATATTTGATCCTATTCATACATCATAATTTAACTAGATCTCTAATGTATAACTACTTTCAAGTTTTGCTTTTTGCTATTACAAATGATGTAACAGCAATAAACTTAATCTGTGCACTTATTTGAATATTTTCTCTGGACAGACATTGGAAATGGTATGCTCATTCTAAATAAACTCCCATCCAAAAGTGATAGCCTAATATATTTTAACTAATTTATAAGATAGTTCCTATATCCCCTACTGTATTACCACTACTAGATATGATTAATCCTCTTTTTAAATTTTTTTTAATTTTATTTTTTAAAAATTTTATTTATTTTAGAGAGAGAAGGAGAGGGCGAGAGAGTGCATGTATGAGCAGGGAGGAGGAGGTGCAGAGGGAGAAGCAGACTCCCTGCTGAGCAGGAAGCCTGAGGTGGGCTCAATCCCACGACTGAAGCCCAAGGCAGACGCTTAAGCAACTGAGCCACCCAGGTGCCCCTAATGCTCTCTCTCTTCTTTTTAAATATTTATTTATTTGAGAGAGAAAGAGAGAGAGAGAGAGAGAGAGAGAGAGAGAGAGAAGGAGTGTGAGTACGGGGAGGGACAGAGGGAGAGGATCTACAAGCAGACTCCCTGTTCAGCCCAGACCTCCCCCCAACCCCTCCTGCCAGGCTGGCTGGATTCCACCACCCATGATGACATGACCTGAGCCAAAACCAAGAGCTGGGACAGTCAAATGACTGAGCCACGCAGGTGCCCCGATTAATACTCAAGACATCAATTACAATGAAGTTTCCAAATTCTCAATCTATCATCAACTACCAGTTTAAAATAAGATTCCCAGGTAAACTTTTAAAATAGTGAAACAACTGGTCAAACCCCTGTCAAGTACAACACTGTAGCTAACAAACTTGTTACTGCACTTCACAAATCAGAAGTTGAACTGATTAATACAATGACTTATATTTGCCATAGAAAAGTTCTAGATGTGATTATTTTACAGATCAACCCTTTTACCAGTCCTGATACAAGCAGGTACTAATTCCATTAGTAGCTATTTTCAAAGTCCTACAGCTACCCACCCCTTTGCTTTTTAGTTATAGACAGCTGAGATGAGAAAGGGGGGTTATCAATGAAGAAATACAATGATTTTGGAAGTATTATTCTGAGTACCAAATCTTAACTTTCAAGGTGGGATCAATGCAAACTACAATTTTACAAATATAAAAACTAATGACATTGAAAATCGTTACCATTCCTTATTTTCCCTTTTCAGCTTTACAAGGCACAATAATTCACATCTTTGAGCCTGGAAAGGAACTGAACTGTCCCTTTCCCCTCCTTCTAAGTTCTTCATATAAACTCAATTTGAGCAAGGAACTCTTTCCTAGCTGGCAGTTTGATAGCTAATGAATCCAACACTTTTCTTTAGTGTTGGAGATACAGCATACTAAAGCAGACATATGTGCAGATATACCCTTGAGCACTGAGGAGAGAATATATTTCACCCTGCTCCTGGGGATGTCACCCAGCAGATAGATTTATAGTCTAAAAACATAAAACAAAAGGATGATTAAAAAGAAGCCATCTCTCTCCAGGATAGACTGACAATGGACTTAAATAGGTAAAGAAATCAAGTCTATTCTTTTTGGGTTTCTAATGCAGATATCATAAAAAGAAGTGTATATATAAATACAGACACAAACAGCTGCTCATAAATTATGTGACATATTTTCTGCAAATGAGGGATTATCTACATCACTCAGGAAATAGTATTGACAGAAGTATTTAGAGAGTACAGTCTTTTGGAATTGGAATGGTTAGAAAACTACAGATAAATAATCTTTATTAAATAATATTTATCAAAATAGAATCAAAACAACGAAGATAAAGAATTTTAAAATAAAAATCTCTAATTATAATATTTTTTAGGTTCTTTCTATAAATTTGTTAGTTATAACTGAGCACAGAAGATTTAAAGTTTATGTTTTTTATTACAGCTGGGAAAGAAAACAATATTACTAGTAAAGAAGGACCATAAATATGATTTTTCCTTCCTAAATACCCAAAATGGAGTCCAAGCAATACAGAGCTTGATAACAACAAAAGCACTATATACTCATAATAAACAGTGTATTATACACATGCAAATTTTATAATTCAATTTTTCTTAAAATATTAAAAAATGACCTCTGACTCCTTGACATGTTCTACTCCTATTCCTCTAAACATGTTCTTAATTTCACTCCCCTAAAATCTGTGGTATAGGCAAATTATTATGATTTTTGAAATTTTTATGTTCCTGGCTTGAGGACCAGTATTTGTTCTGTCATGATTAAATATTTCCAACCGAGACCCAACACTTCTTTGTTCAACTAAGGTTTTGGCACACAGTTTTGATCTCTTGTCTTTCTCAATAAACAAGTACAAAGTATTTGGCTTTTCAAGGAGTTATATACTTCTAAAAACTAAAAAGTAGTAACAGATAAGAGCAGCTAAAATACAGAGTTACATTTCAAAGTCTAAGTTTTCCAATATAATTCTCCATCATCACCTTGAGCTTATACACTGAGAGATATTCTGTGTTCACTCATTTAAATTATAAATGCTAGACTATATTTCACTCTCTATCTTGTCAAAGTCAATGACATCACATTGAATAGTTAATATATTAATCAAGCAAGTATTTACTGAGCTCTTACAGTAATCTGCCTCATACATTACATATTTAACTCAAGACTTGTAAAATACTGGAATCGAGACAGGAAGAGATTGAGGTGGGATGAGTTTTATCTTCTTTTTCTTCAACTTGGCCTTAACTTACTTTACAGTAGATTCTCCGTCACAATTACAGACTTAAAGGAAGGCAAATGTGAAAAGTTGGCATATAATATAGAAATTATTTTAAGTGGCACGGTTTAATTAAAAACTTAATAAATGTGACTGATAGAAATATAATACAGAGGAGTGGATTAAGAGTTCATTTAAAAATAGCATCAAATAATATGGACAGTATTATCATGAATATGGGAAAATTAAACCTCTTACAATATCTGACAGACCAAGTAAACAAAAAAATTAGGTTGTAGAAAATTTGAGTATAATCACCAATAAGATTGATTTACTAGACATACAATGATTTTCTTTTCAAAACTCCATGGAAATTACAAAACTGATCATATATCAATTCACACAGAACACCATAATAAATTTAAGATTAAATATTATATAGGCACATTCTCTAACCACAATGTAACTCAAAGAAACTAAACTCTTGGATAATTAAAAATAACTTTTATGATATAAAATTCCAAACCCATATGCAATTTATCTTCACAATCCTCTCTCAGATTATTTTAAAGTAATTCCCAGATATCATATAATTTCAACTGTAAATATTCTGGTAGAACTCTTGGAAATTAAAAATGACATTAACGACAATAACACTCAAGAAAATTCTTGATTATTCTTGGATCAAGGGAAAAAAATCAAATGTATATGATTGGAACACTTCTATATAACAATTTTTTGAACTGTTTTTAGTTAAAGATGATAGTTCAAGGACCCATATTCATCTCTTCCCTTAAATCTGATCGTAATGACCTTGAAAGGATAAAAATAGAGGAATACAGCATTATTTGTAAGTTAAACACTTATAGAATTTCTGATCCATGAAAAGCAACTTCAAGGATCTACAAGACTAAGTTGCAAAACACTTCTTGAAAGAGTAATGTGATCTAGTGAAGGAGATCCTAGGCCAGAAAACATACAGGAAAGTTCAATTTGGATTTCTTTCAACCAGCTTTGCGCAGTGGCAGTATCGTAGCCAATGAGGTTTATCCGAGGCTTGGATTATTGCTAATTGGATTTCCTTCAACCACTAAAGGTTGAATGGAAAGTGAGGATGCGTCTGATAATGGGATCCAGAGAGTGTCAATTATTTGAAAAAAGAACATACAGAAAGTCGAGTTGAACTCAGTGGTTGTGCAGGGAGGTAAAGTCCTTTATAAATTTCACCTTACAGGGCACATGTGCCCCAATATTTATAGCAGCAATGTCCACAATAGCCAAAATATGGAAAGAGCCCAGATGTCCACTGACAGATGAATGGATAAAGAAGATGTGGTATGTATGTACAATGGAATTTTACTCAGCCATCAAAAAGAATGAAATTTTGCCATTTGCGATGATGTGCATGGAACTAGAGGGTATTATGGTTAAGTGAAATAACTCAATCAGAGAAAGACAATTATCATACGATCTCACTGATATGTGGAATTTAAGAAACAAAACAGAGGACTGTCGGGGAAGAGAAGGAAAAATAAGATGAAATCAGAGAGGGAGACAAACCATAAGAGACTCTTAATCATAGGGAACAAACTGAGGGTTGTTGGAGGGGGAGGTGGGTGGAGGAATGGGGTATCTGGGTAATGGGTATTAAGAAGGGCACTTTATATAATAAGCACTGGGTGTTAGATGCAACTGATAAATCACCAAATTCTACCTCTGAAACTAATAATAC